CTCACTGAGAAGTTGGTGAAAGTTTCTCGTTTTTCGCTTTAACTGAGAAATAATTGTACGGTTGCGGTAGAGTACCATTGCACGGCTCAACGAAAACATACGGGCATGTTCCCTGGTAATCGTAGTACTGTCCATCGAATGTCCAATAGTGGGGATCGTTACTCATGCATGCCTGTGCCATCTTCTTTATGCATCCTTTCCATGGATCGCCTTCAACATTATCATTTCTGATACGTATACACATATACAACTTAATCTGCAATTGACAACTCCATTTACGTTGAATTTTAATGAAAAATCTGACTTTTGATGCGACGAATTGTAATCTCACATTGTCTAACTGAATTGAATTAATAGTTCGTCGGTGAAATAAGATGAACGATGCACCTGAATATCCCGGTAAGCACGCGCAGTTGATTTGATGATACGCAACGAAACATTTCGCATTTGCACCGCAGGTATTCGGTTTACATTCCAGATGCTTCTCACAGTTGTCACCCGCATAATCTGGTGGACAGTCGCACCTGAAGGAATCGAATTGCTGAGTTCGCATTTGCCAAGGGTTCTGATTGCTAACTTCTATTTGAAAACTTCAGTGAGGGAGTGAAACAATTCTGGTAGATCGTGGACATCGAGAATCAATTACGATAGTTGTCACAATTAACGAGGGGAAAATTAACAGTAAAGGAATCATGATCACCTGTAATTAGTGAAGTTCAGTGGTACACAGGTAGCTCCATTCAAGCATGGTCCGCTCCAACAAACGGTACAACTTGGATCGACTTCTCCTCGGACGCGATTAATCTCTTTCTTGAGGTGAAGGATCATGTGCGACAACTCGGAATGATGTTGACAGCCCACTGTTAGACCATCTCCGTCGCAGTGATCGTTTCTGCAAAGAATAATTGAAAGGATGCTGAACGAGTTTCGTAAAATGACCTCTTATTAAGAGGATCTACTTTTGATTTTGAGAACATATACTTTGTTACATAACCAAATAGAGCTCAATTTCCAAAAGTAATGCCCCGAAAGGAAGATTTAGTGTGGGGATATGATTATTGGCATCAAAATCTTTTGATTTTCTTCTTATCACACACATTTCGCTTATAACACACTGCTGTCGTTGAAAAATGAGAAAGCCGAGCGATTTTCTGAAGGTGTGAGTAGGAGTCGGCGGAATACGGTAGTGGTAGGCTTCCCAACTGCGAAGAATTTCCAAGCAAGCATTTATGTGACAACGCTAAATGCTAACAGCCATCGAATAACGAATGAATAGCACTCACTCGTCGATGATTGTTGAAGCTGCATACTGCAGAAGTATGACCGAAGCGAGAATCCGAAAGTGAAACATTTCGGTAGAAGTGATTTTGGTGCTGACTGCGTCGGGCTTTTATGCACTCCATTCGACGGTCTAGTGTCTTTTTTCGGCTTCATAACAAAAAACACCATACCGTTATCGGCTGATAAGATCTTATGCTGATATGCTTCTTCGTTAAACGTAAGCAGTTTGAACATTTGACGACAGTCATAAATAACTTTGTTAAGTGCATTTTGCGTCAATTTTAAATCCCAAAAAATTTTTGTTGTAAAAAATTAACCAATAAAATTTTTGGTTTATGTTTTCTCCGCTGTGAACGAGAGGAAGTGCATTCAAGCAATAAACAAATCATGACAGCACTATCGTTTATCTTTAACATTGCTGTCTTGAATCACAAATCAGATCTCCTTTTTTGAGAAATCATCGATTGTCAAATGCTGGTTACATTGTTCTGATTTTTTAGATACAGTACATTGTTTTGCCGTGCAACCATTATATTCTTATCGGTATTGGCGGAAATTATTCATGCGCTTCCTCATG